CTCGCGTGCTGTCATAGATCCGTGCACTGCGAGATGGAAAACATAGATAGCAACCGTCCTAGTGGCATGTATGGCAAAAAAGAAAAATCCTGAACAGTATCCGTCTGCTAAGCTGCTAGACCGTCCAGTAGCTCGTATAGGCATAGTACTCAGTATTCCTTTTTGTAGCCCTTACAGTAAACTTTAGCAGCGGAAAGTCTTATAGCAATCCTTATAGTACCCCTTATACTAATTTACAGGAAATCTTAGGTTACCAAGCTGATCTGAACAAAAAAAAAACCGCCATGGTTTCGCAATGGAGCGCTACTCTGACTCTCTGGTGGGCAAGCTACTGGGTGCATTCGTGAGTTTTGTGAGGACTGCATTGATGGTGTGTCCACTACAGCCCTGATGGTTACAATGATTCCGTTACAGAGCAACAGATCTTGCTGGCTGACCAACAGTTACAATTTCTGGCTTCATGGTGAAAGCTGACAACATTCCTCGACTGCGAGGCTCATTTCTGACTATGGTGCTACATGTTGCAGGTCAACAGCCCTGAAAAATAGGGGTCCCTTGAGATCTCAACTGGCCCTTATGATGCGTCCATGTGGATGGGTGTTTTGGATGAGGCTGCTGACAGTATGCATAGAGTCGCATCTGGCTGGAAATGCGCGTGAGTTTGGCGGGTAGATGTCGTTTGGTTACTGCCTTTGATGAGTTGATTCGACATTGTACCTGGATGCTGTGCCTGCTCGCAGCAGTGGAATGTACACAGCTTTTGCTTTGGAGATGAAGGGTTTCTGCGGAGGATGACAGGGCGACGAGAACCACAATGAAGATCGAGTGAATGGATTGGGAAGCCTTGAGTGAACGGACTGAGAGAAGCTTAACAGTGATGGCTCAGAAACAGCATTTTGCTGGAGCTGTAGCGTTTTGGAAGAGTGCAAGTGCGTTGTTGTTGATCATCAACGCAAACTTACTTTGGTTCAGATGTTGTGGACAGTCTGTAACATCTGATTGAACTGTGGCGACCGATAAATGTTGGTTTGCTTAATCACTGCATCCACTGTACACCCCAACAAACCTCGCCGTGAGCATAGTTCTCTGCAATGCGAGAGGGAAAAAAGCCTAATCCCGGTTCAGAACTCTGCAATGCAGGCTCGTCCTTGCTAGGTGGGAGGGAAAAAAAGACCTAAACCGACGCCAGGCTCCTGGTGGAAGACCTGGCGAAGCGCCGCCGCGATGCCTCGCAGTTAGAGTTGGCGCTGGGCCTTGGAAGTCCAGATCCAGGCCGGTGGTCCTCCTTTAAGGTTTAGGGTTTAGCTTTTTGTTTTTTGCTTCCTGAGGGGTGTTGAGAGGGTGTTTCGGAGCATTATTGATAGGGTGTTCATAGGGTTGTATGGGAGGTTAGATGAAGCTGTTCTGAACTACAGGGTTGTATAGGGGGTCGAGAAGTACTCGCAGGGTTTATTGGGTTGCTGTGCTTTGTATGGTCTCCAGCAGGGCTGTGTAACGGCTCCGATGCCTTTGTAGAGTTAGACGCTAATCTCCCCCCTAAACCCTATTCCTGTTATTAAGCCTGAAGCAGAAGGACGTGGTAACACATGGCAAACCAATGCTTTGATTACACCTTTCTTTGCCCAAGACACCAGCCGAAGGGGTTGAGGAAGTGCCCAACTATTTATCCTTCCAGTGGTCGGGTGTCAACTGATGCTGATGGCACGAAATGCACAGGTTCAGATTCGGGGTTGCAGAGTGTGGGTCCGGGAGTGTGACGAGCATCACGCTGGTGAGCGGAATCCTTGAACCCCACAGTGGATGATACCTCAGAGTATTCCCAAGAGAGCACACCCTCGACCCCCAAAGCCTGAATATGGAGCTGAAAAATTGGTGATCGTATCCCTCATAGTCCTTATGTATCCACGCTATAGTGACGCATACCCTCAAGACTCAAGTCTACTCTAACTATGAAGTCCCAATAGGCCCTAACAAACTCGAAGCCGGTCGAATGGACGCGAGGCTTGGCAGCCAGCATTCCAGCGGGCCCAGGCAGACCAACGGAAACTAGTTGCCAGATTCATATAACCAGGTTGTGTCAGTCAGTAGAAGCTGTGAAATGGCAACAAGACTATGCACAATGCACTGACAAAGTTCTGTTCGAATCAGCATGGTAGCCAGCCGCTTGCGGGTCGCAAACCAGATGCCCAGAACTCGCAGGCTATCCAGGTATGCGGCCGCTGCCATAAGCTGCCGCGGCGCCCACCATGGTCCTGCCACGGTTGAAAGATCACTCGCCGAGTTAAAAAAGATCATGTCGGATGCACTTGGTGTGCTGTGGTGGATGGTGTTGCTTGACGTTGTCTCGGTGTTGTCCACATAGCTGAAGGTCCTCCCGAGTTTGCAGCCATACCGTAGCAATAGCAGATAATACAGGAGCCTTAGTAATTTTGGCTTGGGTTTGGGGGTACCTTATCCTGTAATTATAATGAGAAGCCCCCAAAACACTATTCTAATTATTAAGCCCCACAAATTCTACCATGCTTGAATTACGGAACCTGAAGCTTTCTTCAGGTAGACCCGTTTTGCAGGTTGGCCTCGGCAGAGTGCTCTCGATTGCTCCCAGATAAGAGGTCTTCCTTTTCGAATCGCATAGCTCAGAAAAAGCTGAGCCGATCAGCAGACTCCATCTCCCTAAACCCTAAACCCGGAACCCAAACCCTAAACCGGTACTAAGGATGATTTCCTCAGAAAGAATGCCAGCATGCTCAGCACGGAGGCCTGCAGCAGACATGAGCTGGTGCAATCCCAATAAGTCAACGTCCTTACATAGAAGCCTGAATACTTAACAACATTGTTCCTGCGCGTTCCTTATTTTGAACCCTATATCAAGCTCTTTGAATTGAAGTCTCAGTATGTTGGATCTTGACCCTCCCGAAGCAGGGTTGGTGTTTCCTGGGCAGGCCAAAGATCTCTTCAAAAATATGGGTGCAGAAGACCAGCGTCGAGTGCTGCCAGGGCCTGGGCAATGTGAGGGTGCTATCAGGTGCATATGTTGTTGACATCTTGTGCGGTCTCTTCTTCAAAGCCATGTAGAAGCCTGAGTAAGTAGTCGTTCTGTTCCTTGAGGCTCCTTGTTACGATTAACTATGGTATGCAATACCCCAAAAACCCAACACTCTCTTCGAAATACCAAGCGGCCCTGCTCAGGAATTCGGGTCCTTTGAACATCTACCGTGAGCCCATGGCCATGTTCAAGTTCCGAGTCGGGGACCTCAGGAGTGTATCATCGGGGCTCTCTAAGGTTTAGGCTTAGGGCTTGTCGGGTTTAGGGTCTAGGGCTTTGGGGCATGGTTTGTAGGGCGGGCGCTCTGAAATGGGATTCGGTGGGGTGCCTCAGCCTCTGCTTGTCTGGGCCCTGTTCCTCGGGCTAAGCGCTCAGTTTGCTTGTTACTGGGGGCGACGAGTACTAATTGCTTTATTACTGTGCCCTTCAATTGTCTTTTCGAGCGCCTTACACAAGCCAAGGGCTTGCCATCCACAGGACACCCACAGTCCGACTCTCACATCATTCACTGCCTGATGCTGGCTTGCCCACGGTGGTCTGTTGTGTGCATTATTTGATTTAATGTTCTGCTGGAAGCTAAGGTGCAACCGTATGCAACATAAGTTCAATGAAACCGGCTTTTTGCCGGCACAGGTGGCCATCAGCCGGGAGCGCGAACAGGAGATCGCAGACCGAAAAGGCCAGGGAAAAGCAAGCAGGGCCACAATATGTATGCAGTCATTTGTGATCGTTTGCATGTTAAGTTCGGTTCTCAAAAGCTTCGTGCCTGCAGTCGAAGCCTCCCGTAGCTACTGGGAGTCCTGCCTCTGCACGCGTTGTCCGAGATAGTCCCGGTCGCTGTGCTCGTCCTCTTAATGATCTCCCTGGAGCGCCGCGGCCTCCATCTGGTCGTGTTCAAGTGCAAATGTAGTACGCGGAATGCTTCTTGCATGCTCCTGAGCTCCAGGGTCTCCAAACTTCTGGAATACAACTGGAGTACACATGTAGTGCGCGGAATGGGTCCGAACAGCGGCGGTGAATGCCGGAGAAAAACACAGATGGCAACTAGTTGCGACCTCTGTTTTCCCAAGTCTGGCGAGAAACCAGCCCGAAGAGTGAGGACTGTGCTCCCGGTAGCACTGTATGGAAAGCACAGATGGCAACTAGTCACTAATTGCGTATTTCCCAAGCATAGCGAAGGACCGGCGCAGCCGTCACTTCGTCGTCCTAATGGCATGCTTCAGGTATGGTCTTTCAGTGTTTGGAGGTCTCCGCTGGCATAATGTGAGGCCTTCTTCATTTGCTTTCTAGTTTTTGACCGTCTCTAAGCTGGCTACCGAAAAAAGACAACAACTGCAACCTCAGCTCCCAAAGCCGCGGTGCTTCAATCCCTACAACAAACCGTTAAGCCCTGGTGCCAGGCCGTGCGATGTGGGATCTCAAAAGGAAAAGCCTGAGCCCTCAAAGCCAGAAAGTCCCAAACCCTCAAGGCCCCGAGCCCTCACCTCGAAGCCCAGATCCTCCCAAAGTGTCCAATGCACAACCCTAAACCCTGGAGCGTGCGAGAGTGAGAGTCGAAAGAAAAAACCTAAACCCTAAACCCTAAACCCTAAATAGATAAGTAGGAGGCAAAAAAATACCCTAAATAGAACCTAGTTCACGGCTGACGCTGGTCCTTGGGAGGTGGTGACTTCGTGGCGAAGGAAGCCTCGGAGGGGGAGGCAGGGGATCTCCAATCTCAAGGTCATGCAATGTCTGGGGGTTTAGGGTGTAGGGTTTAGGGTTAAGTTTGAAGTGCGCACTTGGCATGTTTGACGCCCCTTCCGCCGTCCCAGGTGATTGAGTAACATGCTGATGGGAGTATCATCGCTATTGCAGGCTCAGGCAGGCCCCCCACAGAACAAGGCGTAGGGCGAAGGCTGAGTGTGTAGGTTCTAGATTCTTTACGGGTCCAGGCTTCTCAGACTCGAGAGCCATGGCTGCCGCTCCGCAAGATGAGCACAAGGCATCTGCAGACATGGCCACTACAACAGCTTCTGACACTCTGACAGGAGGCAGTGAGGTAGAGCTTTATTTAGGGTTCACATATGTCACCACATATGTCACACTCAGCAGTTCAAGAAGCTAGTTTCGATTACCTCTGCAGCTGCCATTGCTGCAGTCACTGCTGGCTAACATGTCTGCGAGCCATTTTTCCTTTGGGCGAGTAAGTTTGGCTATTTCCCTATCGCCGAAGCGAGCACTGACAGCTTGGCTTATCGTGCAGCTGCATATGCTACCTATCTTGCGCAGTTCTGCTTGCGTCTTCTGAACTTGAAACTGTCACTGTAAGACTAGTCATTGCTTTCGTATTCGCTTTCCGTACTCATGAGAAGCTGTGCTGCAGTTCCGGTCGGTAGATGTCTGTTCAGCAAAAAGTCATGTGCGGCCCCGTGTCTTCACTGTGCTGCACATTACCAGTCGTTGTCGGATATCATTTGCTGCTGCTGCTGCTGCTGCTGCTGCTGCTGCTGCTGCTGCCGCGGCTGCTGCTGCTGCTGCTGCTGCTGCTGCTGCTGCTTACCATCATCTGCAGCATCAACAAGACAACAGAACAAGTGACACGAGCAGCGTCAATCTCGGTTCGATAATGGTAACTAGTAGACAAACAATGGTAATGACAGGCATGGCCTGGGTTCAACAATAACACTATAAGAAGAATCAAGCAACAGCCACAAGAACATGATCATCATTCGTTTTTCTAGCCTCGATTTGGCGATGAATGCCTTTCACTCGGGGCCATATACCCTTGTTTGGACGTATGGGAGGGTCTTGAAATATTGAAACTGAATCATACTAGCACCCCGTGTCTTAATACCTCCAACTACGGTATCCACATTTTTGTAGAAACCTACAGTAGCCTTCAGCGACTTTCTCGAGCCGAGGATACAGGTTCCCCTTTGCGTGAGGACTTCGAAGAAGTCGTGGATGCCGAGCAGCCACGAGCAATCTCGGCTGCAGTCCGTGGTTTAGGGTCTCGAGTTCATAGATTCTCACCATAGTAATCTAAGTATTGAGTGAGATTCTTCTACAGGAACCCAGGAGTTGCTAGTTTGGGCTTTGCTGTGCTCAGCGCTAATCATGTCACGCGAGGCATTTGGGTGCAAAGATAGGGCAGGGCTTTGGGCTTTAAGAACCACAACCCAACCTGTGTTCAGTTTTTCTGAGCTCCAGCGGAAGCCGGGAGAGAGAGAGCAGAGCCGGCTTGCACCTGGAGCAAGCAAGAGGGAGAGAGAGATGAGCTCCAGGAGTCGAGATATATTTTGGGGGTTCCTTGTTATAGTTACTATAGTTATAGTATAATGGGCCCCAAAACCCCATTCTTATTAATTGAGGCCCCTATATTACAGCTTCAATCTCAGGTCAAAGGCTCAGAGATGGTCATGAACTTGATCGTCGGAGGACAGGGTTTTGATCTGCCTGTGCCTGGCACATGGTCATAAGCTAGCCCCGGGTTGAAACAAGGGTTGGGGGTGGTCCAGCCCAGGAATCCCGCAACCTGCCAGGGAGAGCCATCATTGAGGCGTGGTTAGCATAGGTCAGCACGGCGAGCCACGCACAGCAATTTCAACAATCATCATCATCATCATGATCACCATCACCATCACCATCATCATCACTTGGCCGTGACAGTAAGGATATTGAACATCTCAAGTTTTGTAGTTGTAATGTATCGTACCCATGATCATAAGCATTGCTGATACCCGTAGCAAACCCCTGTATACGAGCGAGGACTGGGCACCGGCATGCTGAGCCTCCCCTGGGCTATGGCGGGCGCTTCGGTGTCCGTCGGGGTTGCTATCATTGTGCCACTGGGCGCACCGAGTCACTGCAGACACCGCATGCCGGAAGAGCCAGATAAGCCAGGCCTTGAAAGACATTATACGCACGTATATACATATATAGATGTAGATGTATGTATATATGCGTATATCCATATGTGTACATGTGTATGTGTGTGTATATATAATATATGGAGATAGCTGAATCGATGGACAGATAGATAGCAACATAGGGCCCATTTGAAGGCCTTGAAGACTCCAAGCAGACATGCATCTGACTCCGAGGTTGGTCGTTGCTGTGCTGCTTGGCTGCTGGCTAGCGTCGTTTGGGGAGAAGGGATTCCTGGGCGGCGTAGCACATGGTTCCTACCGATCACGCGTGCCAGCCGAGGAACATTTGGACCATTATGATCCTCGTCGTTGGTGCAGAAAGGCTTGCCACCAAGTCGGAAATATAGGCACCCTAAACCCTAAACCCTAAACCCTAGGCGCCTGGTCCCCTGACAGACTGGATATCGAGGTACCAGGTCTACGATTTGGGGGCCCTCCTGGGGAAACTTCCTGGCCATCTGGGCCCAGGCATGCAGCGCCTGGGACGCCTACATTTAGGCCCCAAAGTATCAGATTAGATAAGTTGATTAGATAAATATATGTGTGTATATATATATATATATGTATATATATATATACATATACATATATATATTTATTTATTTATTTATGTATGACAGGGAATGTTGAGATTGTGCGTTTCGGGGAGGTTCAGGGTTCAACGAGCGCCCAAGGTTTGCGGCTACCTATCGCAGGTCATTCCTTCCATCTTTGCCCGACCGCTTGTCTCGCAGTTGAGGGTCAGCAGTTTTCGCTGCAGAAGACACGGTTAAAGAAACTCTCTTCTCACATGGCATTCGTCACTTCCTCCGAGTCTGAAGTCAAGTTGAGCACGATCGAAGGGAGTTGAACTCAGCTCCACGAAGCCATGGTTGGTGTGTGTTAAAGCTTAGGGACATGTCTATCTGCGCCTCTGAAATGAAAGATATCGAGTCTTTGTTTCTTCAAGTGGCTTTTTCAGAATCAGTTTCGTCTTCTCATTCCTGGCATGATCCACAGAGACTATATCAACTCGAAGCCAAAGCCTGCTCCGCTGAGCTCAGGATCTTCACGAATCTGATGGTGTGGGTCGTCCTTTTTGGCTCGCTCGTCAGCTACATCATCAGCATCTGCGACTCTGCGCAACCCTTCATTGCAGGGACCTTCCTGGAGAAGCGCACCTCGGTCGGACTAGGATGTTCGGGTGGCCAGGGTTCATAAGAATTGGGGGCTTTGGGGAATACGGTGTCGCTTTGGGGTTTCAGGGCCTGGAGCCCTCTATTACAGCAGCCCTGATCGCAGAAGTAGTGCTGGGATTAGGCTTGCGGGTGGAGGAGGAGTCAGGGAATTTAAGGTTTTGGGTTCGGCTTCGCTTTCAACAACGCGCAAATGGCCAGCTGCAGCATTGAGCCCCAAGAAAATTGAGAATCCTAAAGCCCTGAAGCCCTACAAAACCCAACAAGCCCAAAACCCTGAAACCTGAAACTCTAAAGCCAAACCCTCGAAAGCCTAGACCCGAAGCCCCAGCCCCTCCCCCACAAAGCAGAGTATGATGCATGCTCCTTCTTCAATTCCTGTATATTCCTGTCATTGATAGTGGTTTTATTGTTGTCACTGTTATAGTTATTGATAGTAATTTTGTTCTTGTTACTACTATTATAGGCTGGGCCTTGGCGGGCTTGGCTTCGATCTTGGTTCTGGCGCTTTGCTTCCTGGATCAGAAGTATCTCTCCTTCTCGCTGCTCGGCAGAGGGCTTGCAGTTCAGGGTTTGGCTCAGGGTCAAGGGGATAGGGCTTATAAGGTTTCGTTTTGGGTTTAAGGTTCATGCTGATGCTTGTGTCAGGGGTGTACAGGATGATGTGGGGGTTCGGGATGTAGGGATCCAGCGCAACTATTCTTTTGTTTGGTCGAGGCTTTTTGGGTGCATCTGCCTGGTGAAGCCCGGATGTGGACAGTCATACGAGCTCTAAAGTCCTTAAGCCCCTAACAAAACTCAAACCTTAGGCCTAGGTTTCCTTACTGGGTACAATGGTATGCTGGGTGTATTGGGAATTATGGATTTATCGGGTATACTCGATAAACTGGATGCTACTGAGAACAGGCATGCTTTCCGTACTGCCTTTTCTTTTGTGAATTGTACGTCGTTGCGGCCCTGCTGGCAACATACTGGCAGAACCGGCGAAGCTGGGATCGCAGCGTCTAGTATTCTTTCACTTCGAAATTATCCCTGCGTTGCGGTTTTACTGCCAATGTACTGGCAGAACCGCATTGATTTGTACGGAGGCCCCTGGATGGGCCAGGGCCCCACATGCTTAGCCTTCGCACGTGGATCAACCCCTTCTGCCTCATCCGAGTCGCGAGAGTCTAGCCCTAAACCGCAAACCCCTTCAAGCCGTAAGCTCAGCCTGTCATGCTCTTTGCTGCTGCTTTGGCCAAGGTCTGCCGCGGCGATCCTTGTCAACATGCTACTTGGTTGAGGAGCTTAGGGCTTAGAGTTTTAGGGTTTAGGGTTTTCCGAAGTGTTGCGGGCTGGAACCTCACAGTTATGGCACTTTGGTCCAGCAGTTCACGGTGTAGGATCTTGGGGTAGGGCTACTTCATATAGCGGCCTAAATAATGACCAATACTATCTTGGGGTTCCTTATCAGAATTATAGTATAATGGGCCCCCACAACCCTCTTTTAATTATTCAAGCATTGTTTGCTAGTGACCTGCGTAACAGGCAGCGCATCTGTTTGACATCAGGCACCGGGGTGTACCAAACACTAGTACTAAACCCTAAACCCTACTGCTCTGAATCCTAATGCCTTGAGGCATTGCGCCAAGGAGCTGGAACCTCTTTAAAATGGAAAACATCCGAAGCCTTCCGCAAAGGTGTAAAAGTACCGGTTTCCGGTCATAGTCAAGACGAGCGCAGGTGCAAAGATACGCCACGACAGGGAAAGAATGAGCGCTAACCCTACCGAGTAGGATGTTATTTTTGTGTGACGTATGAGGATACTGTGACAAAGACGGAATTCATATGAAGATGCCGGCCCAACAAGGGACCAGACATGAATATTTAGAGCAGCCCCCACCGGTAGTTTCCCCAAACAGGACTTCATTTGCGGTTCATCATTTAGAGTCCGCCGCGCTCTCTCTGGGCACTCGGAGGGACTCTGACTTGTAAGAACAGCTATCCATCCGAGGTATTTGTTGGGATTGGTTTGCTCCGAGTACGGGAAGCGTGCCGCGCATGGTGAGCTGCCGGCTGGCGTTTGTGGCTTTGGATTTGCAAAGGCGCGTTCCAAAAAAGGGCACTCGAAGACTCTGCCGGAGGCACAGTGAATCGACCCTGCCTTGCTACAATCTAGAAAAAGGGTACGTTGAGACTCTGGGGCATGTGAAGCGACCAGGGATCCGTAACCATGGTGAGCACGATGATGCAGAGCGTCATCATCCAGCACCTTCAGCTGCAATTCCCAAGCACTGGCTCTAAGAATACCTTGGCTAGAATTCCAGTTACCCATAGTATGGGCTCGTGCCCCTGAAACCGAATTCGAAGAATTTCTAGAAAGCCAGCTGCCTACGTTTTGGCTTGGCATCTCGCAGTGGGGAACTACTTCTTCCCTCCAGTGCGGCAGCATCTCCGAGCCTGCAAGGATGTGCGTGCTGCCAATGTACAAGGAGCTGGAGAACAGATCCCCGAGGAGGTTTGGAAGGCCGAAGCAGAAGCTCGAATCCGAACAAGCAAGGGCAATAAAGATCGGAAGTCGCACGGAGATCCTTATGCCATCACCCTTAAAGAAGTAGGCTGGATTTAAAGAAGTTCCAAGCCATCCGCACCGGCCCTGCACCGGAGTTCAGCGAGCTTGCCTCTTCGAGAGGCTGCTGACTGTTGCATTCTCCGTGCTGGCATTGATCTTTGTCATTCTGGCCATGGCGGGGTACTATGCCTTCGGACCATCGGCATCTGGGCAGTGGTGCTGACATCCACTTTAAGTCTGAGATGACCGGTTCACACCTTCACCATCTGCACAACAGTCATAATCGTCCATTCGTTGCCCGAGTCTTCTTGAGTGCCTACGCCTTCAGTCCCACCGTCTAGCAAGATGCAGTGCTCTGGTAGTGCTCTGAGCAAGCTGCCATCGAGCTAAGGTGGAGTCGAACCTCCTGTCCTCCCTGCCACGGACCACCGCCAACAACGTGCTGGGCCTCAGTGCTCCAAGAAGATATCCTTAAGAATCCAGTTGCCTGTTGCAGGAGCTTACTGGGCTATTGGCACTACGCGGTTTTCATCTTCTTTTTCATGTTGCACCGGGTTTAGTGTCCCTCCAAGACAGCGTTTCCCGGTGCCTCGTCGTAGTAGTAGTAGTAGGAGGGTTCCGTCAGGTTTAGAACGGGCCAGGGTGGTCCAAAAGCCAAGTTTGAAGCCTTCAACATCAAGCCGCTGGTCGATGAGAATCCTCAGCAAAGGCTCCGAAACCCTTCAATTCCACGACTGAGGCCCCTTCGAATCTTCATAAAACCCAAGCCGAAGGCCTGCCAAAATAACACTTCTGAGGCCTCTTGTCGTCCTCAGCTGAATAAATCGCAAATCCGGCCGAATCCGGCGCACATTATACCATATAGTCTCCATTGTAGTTCCCTTTTTTGGTTTAACCCATGATATATTAAGGAGTTTATAAGGTATCCCCAAAAAGGAACTACAATGGAGACTATAGGTAGAGCGTGCCCTGAATCAGCCCTGGCCGGAGCACATTATGGAACTCAGGCACATCACAAGCCACAGAGACAGGACGTAACACATAAAGCCGACCGTATACCGTATACCCTAAACCTGCCCCAATGGAGCAGCGGCATGCGGACATGAACTCTGCTTGGCCTGGGGGGTCAGCTATGGTGAGACACCATTACAACGCAAAGAATATGGTTTAATTTTGGGTGAGTAAGCCCGAGTGCATTGAACTAGCACTTGATTCAGCAGACTTGTGAAAGGTGCATGTGTAAGATACACCACAAAACTTTCGCAGGCCCTGAGAGTGCTGTGAATGCCGAGACGATGTGCACTTGAACTCTCAACGAGAGAAGGGCTCATGGTTAAGGCATGCTCAGTACAGATGGCACGAGAAACTTGGCACCACTCTTCCGGTAGGTCCAAATCAACCTCGCTAGTGGTCATCGATCCTTGCAATGCGGCACGGGCAATATCCCGGAGTCCTTAGAAAAGTAGGGCCGAATGTCGAGGTTGCACAGGCTGGGATGATACTCACCATGGCTGCTGTCTACCCGATCATGATGATCGCTATGATCCTTGGATGTTGTTGGTGTAAGTCAGGATTTTGTGTACCAGGGTTCTAGTGAGCTTTTTTGGATTACATTGGTCCTGAATAGGAGTTGTTGGTAGAATTAGTGTTTTTGTCATGTGTTTGCAAGACTTTTATACGGCGTTATGGCGTTAGACTTACCATGATGAGCGCCACGACCCTTGCAGTTGCGGGACCCCAAAGCCCCAAACCTCAGCCCCCAACGAACCCCAAACCTGAAGGCCCCGAGCCATCAACCGAAAAGCCACGTTCGGCTGCGGCCCGGTTGTCCAGCTAATATAGGGGCCTAGACAAATACGAATACCATGTTAGGACTGTTTATTACAACTGTGGTCCAATATACCCCAAGCCTTCCCAAAGCCCTGGCCCTAGCCTGATTATTCATTAAGTCCCCAATCGCACATCATGCCGGAACTGGTTCCGGTTGCTTTGCGTCTTGGTGTTCGGGTGCCGCATTTTGAAGTTCTGTTGGGATTGGTACTGTAGAGTGCAACCCTCCTCCGAATTCGCCATGAAGCGAGGCATGTCAGCCTCAGTCAAGCCCCATGCGAGGGAATACTCAACATACACCGGACTTCCTGAAAGTAAGCTCTACTGACTCTACTGCTTCGCGTTTCCTATGCTTAACCGGAAGCCTTGTATGCTTGTGATCACGAAGGATCGCGCCGGTCAAAAACCTCCCCTTGGAGCGATTTGGCTGGCAGGCGCTACGTTTGGCGGGGGTGACTTGAACGGGGGTGCTGGAGGGACTGCGTATATTAAGTCGGGTTACGAGTGATTTCAGTGAGCACATCTTCTTCATGTCGGTTTAGGAGCATGAGGGTCATTTCAAGCATCCGGGAAATAGAGCTCCGAGCTTCTGATATCAATGCATTCAGGCTCTCTGGATACTTCTCCTGTGTCACTGTTGGGCATAACGGTGCTCTGAAAGTATTTGTGATTGGGGCGGGACCGGCATGGAGGAACTGGAATCTGGCCAAAAACACGCAGATCCACAGGGCTGCTGCATGGATCCATATGGAGCTGACAGTTTGGGTTGCTGGCAGCACAAGTGCGCTTCCATGCAGCACCTCTTCTTGCTGGGTATTCTGCATCAGCACTGGTAGACGGGCCACTGGCAACAACTCTGTGCTCCAGTGCAGCATCTTTGCTCGCCTGGCTTTGCCTGCAGTGAGCGGCAACAAGAGTTGAAACATCTACAGAACCCGTATCCATTCTCCCTTTTTGCGGGTATATACACCTTAAATCACAATATGGACCCTATTATATATATATATATATGAAGCCTTAAGCCCCTTACATCAGAACATGGCTCCTACAATATATGAAGCCTTAACCCCCTTAAGTCATAATATGGATCCTACTAGACATGAAGCCTTAAACCCCTTACATCAGAACATGGATTCTACAATATATGAAGCCTTAAACCCCTTAAGTCATAATATGGATCCTACTATACATGAAGCCTTTATGTAACCCCTTACATCAGAGCATGGATCCTACACTATATGAAGCCTGAACCCCCTTAAGTTATAATATGGATCCTATTATACATGAAGCCTTAAACCCCTTACATCAGAACATGGATCCTACAATATATGAAGCCTTAAACCTCTTAAATCATAATACGGAAGCTACTATAGCCCTAAACCCTAAACCATAAATTTGGGTTTTTGTCCTTCTCGCATGGCAGAGAACAAAGCTCATAGGCGAGGTTCAATGGGAGGCAACACAGAGACCTAGTTATTCAGAAATGTTTGTGCAGGATCTGATTTCTCTGCACCTTCAGGATTGCACAAACATTTCCGAATAATTAGGTCTCTGTGTTGCCTCCCATTGAACCTCGCCTGTGAGCTTTGTTCTCTGCCATGCGAGGGAAAAAACCCAAATCCTAAACCCTAAACCCCAAACCCGAAACCCTAAACCCTAAACCCTAAACCAAATGGCTACAGTTTCGGCTCAGAACGCAAGGGAAACTGTGATCTAACCCGTTGTATGCCCCAGAATATTCAAATCAGCTTCGGGACTTGGGGGCCACCACATCTTAAAGTAGAGGAACCTCCTTACCAAGCCTTCGGTGCTTCCGAGCGTTTGGCTTGCGATTTGAGGATGACGTCCGGCAATGCTGATGCTCGACCCGTGCTTGCCACTGCTTTGCCGCCAATAGGGAGACACACTCAGGCCCTTGAATCAGGTATTGGTCTGTCTACCCCTCCCAGGGTTCGCAAACCAAGCCTCGCCGAAACACCTGAGACAAAGAAACCGAAGCTTGAAAAACCGGACGAAGATGATCTGATGGGTGAGAAGCAGATTTTGGCACCAGTTGAAGCGGGTGATTCTATTGATACTAATAAAGACTCTGAGAATGACGTCGACATCCCAGGATCCCCGACCTTCGCTCAATCAGCCGCTGCCATTCCCCATTTTGATCTCACGCGCGAAGATGCTGAACCTGCAGTCACCCAGAAAGATGGTGAAGAACAACGGGATGTCCATGATGAACTTGATGAAACATCAGTTCCTCGCCCTGCCTTTGCTGCTGAACTAAATTCGAAGGCCCTCCCTGTGAATTTGATGCAAGCTGCCCCTAATTCGTTTAATTCACCCAACCCTAATTTGTTGCCAGGTAATTCATACATTGACCCAGCTGCAGGGACGGGCTTACGTGAGCCACAAGGACCACTCCCATTTGGAGGAATGGTGCAGCCAGAAGCACCACCTTGGCTCCAGGACATTATGTCCAATTTTCAGGGGCTTCATGCTAAAGCTGACACACAACATCAGAACATTCTGACTTTCACTGCGGAGGTCCAAGCCCAAGGGATTAGGATTTCGACTCTTGAACAGGTCGCGGGAGAACATTCCAATAAACACAACCAATCAGAATCCCGCCTTAAAGTTCTTGAGGCTCAGGTAATGGAGATGACCGCGAAGTTAGCTGAACTCTCTGAAGATGGTAATGGCCGATCTAGGTCCCCGGCTCGGACTGGATTAGGAACTCGCCCCCCTTCCCCTAGATCTCCGCGTTCCCCTAGAGGTGCCACACGTAGTGATCGTGAAGCCTTCCCTGGTCTGTTGCCTGACCCCGAGGACCTTGATGTTGTGATTGGGGGATGGAATGATGCTAGGAAGTCAGATGCTATAGAGGAAACCAAGAACATTTTCGCGGCAATTGATCAAAGCTCCCTTCCAGCGGATATTTGGTCACCCTACAGTCGAACCAGCTTTGTGAAGATCAAGCTTAACTTCCCTGACCCGAATGCCCACATTTCCCTAAAACGCCAAATCCAGACCAGGCTTATCCAGAAACTCAAGTCCAAAAACTTCACTTCGGGCATTCCGGGCTGCGAAGGAGTTAAGCTGTGGGCTACTAAGAGCAAAACACCGTAGGAAAGAGCTAAGGTTCGTGCGATTGTTCTTACTAAAACCTTCTATGGCAACCTCTGCCCTAAGAACTCTGACAAAAGCATTTCAGAAGAAGCCCTGGGAATCTCTTGGAACGGCAAAGTCTATTATGAAAATCATCAACTGCTGGGGTCCGTAGAGAGGGATGGTGAGCCCAAGTACTACGATGTCTGTATTGAGGATGCTAAAGGTAATCACATGAACTGGTACCTCAAAGCAGATGTCTTTTCCTTGATTACAGGTAAGGAACCTGAATCATTGCAAGAGCTTTGGCTGACAATAGGTCCCACTTCCCCTGAGGCAAGAACAACTGCTTGACTAAGAGGACCCCTCAACAAAGCCGTAATGTTTCACCCCAGTAGCTGGAATATTCAGGGTAAAAGCCTTGATGACCTAAGCTGCGTGGCCAGTATTGGGCCTCGAAGGGATCGATGCGTTGGGTCTCCAGGAACTAGGTGGGTTCTCACACTTAACACTTCCGTGGACTACAGTAGATTGCGATTTGGGATCCGATGGGTTTTGGTGCTTCTATGTCACGAGTCCACCTGTAGCTTTTCGCGCAGTTTCTGTAGGACTTCCGGCTAGGATCGCGCCTTTTGTAGACCACGTTAAACCCCTTTGTTGTGGCATTTGCGTCACGCTTAAAGTAGATGGCTGCAGACAATTCATAATTAGTGCACATCTTCCTCATCGCCAACGCAGTGACTGCATTGATGTATGGCATACCTTCTCTACGGAACTTGAGCAGGCTTTGTCTCATAGGAGGGTAAGTGACTCTGTTGTGGTATTAATCGACACAAACTATGAAGTTGGCCACCCTGAAGCGTTACTTGATCCGAACTCAGCTGACGACAGGGGCTTCTTAGTTGGGTCCATCCTTCAAACGCATGGGCTGGTTTCTACCTCTCCGTCAACATACACGTGGTCGAATCAGAGAGGGTCCTTCTCCAAAATTGACTTTGTGTGGGTAGGCTCACCTTGCCCGGTTTTGGAGTCTCAGAGAGTCTTGGAGGATTCAGATTTTCAGATGGGTTGTGATCACCGCGCAGTAACGGCTTCTTTTGCACTTTGGGGTTCCGAAAGAAGACAGCTACGTAAACGTCGGAGTAACATTACGAAATGCGGTAAATGGAGAGTTGACGCTGTCAAAGTCCATCAGGAGGCTAGTGCTATTGCTGAGGACCTTGATCTTAACCAGAAAGACTTTGACACGTCAACACTCCTGCAACTCTCCCAAAAATCCTCCTTTAGGCCTAAATCCCTGAGATATAAGGATCCCCCACACATTACAGACAAAATTGCTCAGAGGCGACTCCTAAGGGGAAGGGAATCACGCGTATTGGGGAAAGAAATAACAGCTTTACGTAAAGCAGCCAAGTCCCAATGGCTTCTGGACTTGATGGATCGTTCCTCCAAAGGAGACTTCCATGCCATATCGTATTTTAACCGTCGTCAGTCTATGGTCACTACGCACTCCAATTACGTAGTTAGAGCAGGGGGAAAACAGAAAGCGATCTCCGACTTACGGAAACATTTAGTACTCAAGTACACACCCAGCGACCCGGAGCCCCCTGACTTACCTCTCCAAATTTTGTGTTCTGGGGATGACGGGCCTTTACGCAAGCCGGACCTTATTTCTGTACCTGAGATCCAAAATGTTTTGAATACGTGTAAAACAGGTAAATCGTGTGGGGACGACGGTGTCTCTTATGAGCTTCTTTCTGCAATTATCTCCTCTGAATTGGCTCAACATTTCGCTGATTTCTTCAACTCTATCCTTTTTGGGGTCGTCCCTCTCCCTGAGTCCTGGCTTCTCTCTAGACTCACTTTGCTCCCGAAAGTACCTTTGCCGTCTTCGCCTAAGCACCTTCGACCTATTGTTCTCTCTTCCGTTGTAGGGAAAGTTTTCACTAAGATTCTTCTGTTTCGCATGCGCCCTCATTTTCCTTTTCCTATCGCTAACCAACTTGCTTGTATTAAAGGTTCCCAGACTTTAGACGGGTCGGCTTGTTTGCAGCACATTGTCCGTTTGAGCCAAGAATATCGCTTACCGTTGATTGTTGTAAAGCTCGACGTCGCGGCTGCGTTTGACACCCTTTCTCACTCAGCAATCGCCCGCTTTCTCTCTGTCTGTGGGAACCATGTTGAATCACATCTTCTCCTTCGTATCATTCTTCTTTCAAGGGTCGTCATTGGGTTGTCGGATGTCTCTTGGGAGCAACGACTGCTCCGCAGTGTGCTTCAGGGCTCGTCCTATTCGGCAGAAGTTTTTGCACGAACCATTGACTATTTTCTCGGT